GACATTGCTGTAGGAATTCTTTGTTGATCCCTGGACATACTGACATGTGTTTTATAATCTGTCACTTTCACACTATCACAATTTGCGGGAACATGATGTCATGGGGTCAATGTGGAGGTTGATGATTGGCCATTCTGATTAGGGTTGGGGCTATATATCAGCTGTGTTTATGTGCACTTACACTGCATGTTTTACCTGATGAAGGGGATCCTATGTGACCCCAAAACGTTTGTTGTTTTTTACCACAATGCACGTCAATAAATAGATAAATTTGCAAATTTGGAGTGCCGATGTCTCTGCTTCAGCTCACGATTGTTACGGCTGCCACCCGTTGAATACCGCAGCACCCAATTCTTGAAGGGATTTACGCGGTCAGGAGTGCGATGGGACCATGGACTATCCAGATTATAATCCCATCACATCCACCCTGCCTTCCCCAGACAAATCGGTCTGCTCAACACCACAGGGTTTCCCCTGCTAATGAGCTCCAGATAGCCATAGCAGGAGCCTGGCCAGAATGTCATTGTTCTGAGCTCCTTCAGAGTACAAAGGGAGATAACGAGGGATGGTGCTGATAGTCTTTTGATAACCAGGTTACACAGTATAACATAATTAAACATAACTCAACACCAATACACATTTAACTCCTAAACTGATCACCATGTCGTCACTGGGACCCCATGTTTTTTTCCCCCCATTTTGTGGGGTTCCCGCTAGGGGGCGCGCGCGTGCAGAAAAAAATTGCCGTCTGGAGACGGCAACCCGCAGATGCTGCAGTGCCGTCCGTCCGTTTTTTTACTACGGGCGGACGGCAAGAGGTTAAAATTCCTACCAGACCTAATGAATCTGGTATGGATTTGGGGGGGAACCCCACATACTTTTTTTTGTTTGTGTTAACTTTGGGGAGGGTCCCTCCTAACATTCCTACCAGACCTAAAGGGTCTGGTATGAATTGGGGGGGAACCTCACGCTTTTTTTTTTTCATCTGCAGACTAAAAAAAATACCTATTTTTTTCTAATGTCTAGTTATTTCCTCCATTGCAAGGTGCATGAAGATGAAATGTGTCTGCACGCAGATGTCACAGCCAGTGGTGGACCTCAGAAACAAAGGGTCCTGGTGCAAGATATTTTTTCTCGGACCCCCCCATTCCTGTTCCCAAGGGGGGGTGTCAGAACTGGATTTCACTGCCCTGAGGGGAGGGCTTCCGATGACTGCAATGCTGAGCGGAAGGTGTGCGCTTGCACACACTGGCCCGTGCGCCATTGGTCTCCCAAGGACGCCCCTAACCCGCGGAAAATCATATGATTTTGTGTGTGTGTTTTCAAGCGTGCTCGTAAGACAAAACACATGCGACCGTACAATAGAAACGATCCCACGCCTCCCATACACCTGCCAATTACCGCACAATTGTGAGACACCTTGAGGCAGTGTGCAGAGGTCAGAGTGTGACGCAGACAGAACAAGAACTTACAGATGCTCTGCCCTCTATCTCTCCAGGTGGTGGGGGAGGGGGTGGGTGGGGGGTGTGGGTGCAGCCATTTTGTATGCGTCTCCTATGAAGAATCCTTCAGCTGCCTCCTTGTGTCTTCTCTTCAGATCCTGCTCTCCTGTAGTGTACAGCCGGCCAATGGTCATCCTGCAGTCTTCCTCCTATAGCAGCTGAAGTGGGAGGAGGAAGCTGCAGGTAGCCGCCAACAGACTGATCACTGAAACCGGCACACAGTAGTGACAGCTGTACAGATTCTTCTCCCCTCGGCCACTCTGTGACTGCAGTGGCTGAGGAGGAAAATAATCAGTACAGCTGTCACTACTGTGTGCTGGCTTCAGTGATCGAGAGCGGCAAGCACTCTTCTCAGCGCTCTCCTCTCAATGTTTCCCCTGTGTGCCTGACATCTTGTGTCTGGGTTTCTGCTGCCATGAAACCCGGACACAGCATTCAAAACCAGGACTGTCCAGGTGAATCCTGGACAGGTGGCAACCCTACTTGGGCCCCGGGGCGCTGCACTGGCAGGAGTCCCGCCCCTGGTCACAGCAATTACATCGGCCCCATACTGCTCTGATCGGATGCATGTGTAAGTGGTTGTTAAAAGACAGCTCTCATTCTGTTTCTCTTAAGGAAACTAACGTTCCAAACAAATGACAGTCAAAGCCCACAAATAAGGGCCACATTCCCCATGCATTTAACACAAAGGACTTGGGGGGTGGGGGATCTTGCCAATGCAGCTGCCTCCAAAGGCCCTTTCCTCAATGCTGCTTGTAGGCTTAATCTAGTTTCTGACATACAGAAAGACTAATGTTGGTTTGTCAAGGCTGTAAAATGAAACCAACACACAAACTGTTAAAGTAAAAATAAGGTTTATTGGAGCAGCAGCACACAAAAAAAAGCTCCATAAAAGGGGGGCCTTCCTGCCATCCAGCCGACCACGGTTTTGCCTAAACACACATACTTGGCTACCATGGGGATGAGGAATATCCTTCGCAGGCAGGCTAAGCCGACAAGCCAATTATACACCAGCACTCAGAGGAGAGGGATGATCAAGTTGCTGGCCTCCTTCCAAACGATCTTTGACAGTCCAGGGTCTTCATTCAGGGCCTCCTGGCCAACATGACCTTGCACCCACAATACATCCACTTTCTTCAAACAGAGAATGTGGAGGATGTCAAGATGGCCTCCCACAGGAACCGCAAGCAAGCAAATCCTCTGTGACACCAGCAAAAACCATGATTGTGCAGACAGGATTCAGGGTCCATGCTATGATGTCAAGAGCCTGTAATTTAGCACAAATACATGTTATTTATTACATCAATATGAAAACCTTTACCGTCACATAATGTCTTAGTATTTTGGGATTAAAATCCTTTGTTGGACCTGACAGAGTTTGACATTCACAATCTACATTGGCATAAGAACAGGAACATCAAGGAGCCACACTGGTGCAATGCATTCATCGACACAGATTGTGCAATTAACACATTGTTAAGCAGGCCATACACCTATAGATTCCCTGCAGATGTTCTAGGCTCAGATGGAAAAAGTTCCACAGATTCTTCCATCTCCACTAAACGGTGTGGATGGAGGAATCTTCCCCTGGGCCAAGATTGTGTATCTTGCTAGTCGGCCCCACTGGCTGTCAAAAGACCTGAACAATCTGATTGAATGCAGGCATTCTTCAAGGATTTTGACAGGCAGCGGGGCCGACTAGCAAGATACTGAATCTTAGCCCAGTGGGAGATTCCCCCATCCACACAGTTTGGCGTAGATGGAGGAATCTGTCACACCTTTCCCATCTGACCATCGCAAATGTTCCGAAAATCCATACGCTTACCGTGTGTAAACAGTGCTGGAGGTATGTGGTTTGGTCATTCATTTGAATGCATGACAAATGCAATAGCTACCTGCAATTTGCTAGATAGTGATGCAACGTGGGATGACTATTTCATGTGTAAGCGTTATCAAAGTGCTCCATGCATTCAAAAGAATCACAATGCAACACACCTCCAGCACTGTAAACGCACAGGAGATACATTGTACTGTATGTTGTGTCTATTGCATGGAAGCGTGCAATCAATGTGTAGCCACAATGTCAATAGTAGAGGAAATAAGAATTGCATTACAGGCACTGCATATTAAAGGGGCTTATTCACAAAGCTAGCCGGAGGATCAGCCGTAGCTACAGCTGATTTTTCGGCTAGGTCCGCCCTCCTGAGCCTTTCGGTTTAGTAGAACCAAAGGGCTGCTGTATGGGCTATTCACTATAGCCCATACAGCTCCCGAAGTTGGTTGAGCCAAAGGCATATGCTTCGGCTCCACTGAGCCAAGCTGAAAGCCGAAGTGGCCCAGACAGCCAGCCATTGGCCAGCCGAAAGCCTGCTACTGACAACCGGCCGGAGCCAGCCGTCATCTCACGGCTGGCACCGGCCACTTGCAATGACAAATCAGCAGAGCCGCCGTGATATCACGGTGCCTCTGCCAAGTTCTCAGTGTGCGATGACAGTTTTCACCTAGTAACCAGGGGACACTGATCTGTCATGACAATGAGAGGAGCTCTCATTGTCATGACAGCAGTTCCCGTCCAATCGGAAACAGTTGGATGTAGCTACCTGTCACAGACAGCTCTGCCCATTTGTGTTGTACTTATTACAACTGTTTTATTATCGTTTTTCTATTCTGCTCGGTACCACGGAGGTACCAAGCAGAATAGGCAAGACAATTGCCGCAGCGTGGCATTCGGCTATTCACTCACTGCTGCTCGGCCCCTATGAGAATAGGCCGAACAGCAGCGAGTAGCCTGCTGGAGGTCCCTCTCAGCCAATCCAGATGTTGGATCGCCTGAGTCAAACTCCTTCTGCACTTTGGGTCGGCCAAACATGCTGAGCATGTTTAGACGACCCGAACCCAGCCAAACCAAGCTGATGTATGGCTGAAATCGGCTGGCCAAGCCTGAAGTGAATAGCTCAACATCATTTGGCTCACTCCACTTTGGGTTGGTTATTCACACGGCTGCCTTCGGCCGTGTGAAAATTGCATTCATGACTTCGTCAAAATTGCATTCATGACTCTCATGTAACAGTAACCTCAAAGCAACAGTAGTGTCCAACGCCACCCACTTTTCCAAAAAACAAAAACGAGAAGCTAGCAAGGACAGATGAGAGTCATGATGTGAAATGATCCCAAAAAGGATGGGAGGGCTAGAATTAGATGCCACCATCTAGGTTACCCTCCTCCACTCTCCTATTCCCTCCCTTGTCTAAGCTAGTAGATGGGTGGCTGCTGCAACCTACTCTGTGCCTTGTGATCTTGTACTCAATAGGAAGTTGAAGTTAGCCAAACTGAGAATGTACATGATGATCTAAGTTGGTATACATACAAGTGACATTTCAACATGATTTGTGTTGATGTAATACAGTACATACGTGTGAAATAGTTTGGGATCAGCTCATCCCTCGCCAACCGTCCAGCTGCTGTGCTGTTCCTTGTGGGGGCAGGCGGCTGCCTGACCTCTGGCTCCATCTCCTCGTTCATGTGCCAGGATTCATGCCGCTCTCTGCACAAATTGTGCAGTATGCAGCACACCAGAATGATCCTGGCACACTTGCGAGGAGAATACAGCAACTCACCCCCAGGCCGGGCCAAGCAGAGAAACCGGGCTTTGAGAAGACCAATTGTGGTCTCCACAACAGCCCGGGTTCTCCGCAAGGCACTGTTGTATCGAGCTTCAGCTGGCACTGTTGTATCGAGCTGGGGGTATCTGATTGGAGCCATCAGCCAGGCATGCTGCGGATACCCGGCGTCCCCTAGAAGAGAAGATGAAGACATCAATTGGTGTACAAACATCCCCTATTTCTCTCCTACAAGACATATCCTTCACATCAGAGAACAGTAACCCCAAAGGCTGCTCCATCATAAATGTCAATATTTCTATATAGATATTTGCAAAGTCCAAACAGTATGAATGTCATCACGAACCAAACTGTATATGTACTGTCCAAGCTGCCCATTCGTGATCTTAGCTTTGTTAATTGCAAGGGACCATAATCAGTGCATGGGACTCAGGTGTACAGCAATCAACTCATTCCAAACGAACCGTAAAAAGGACAAAATGTTACTTTACCCACAAGCCAGCCATGCGGGAATTGGCCTCTCTCAAACCTCCGGGAAACGCCTGATTGGCGAAGGATGAACGCATCAAGAGTGGACCCAGGGAAATTGGCCCGCACACTCATGATTTTTTGTGTGGCGTCATGGACGATTTGCACATTCAAACAATGATATTGCTTGCGGTTCCTGTAGGTTCGTTCTTCAAGCCTGGGGGGCTGCAAGGCAATATGGGTGCAATCCACGGCCCCCAGGATGTTGGGAAAACCAGCCCGATTGTAAAAGGCCAGCTTGACATCTCTCCACTCCCTCTCTGTTTGCGGAAAGTGGACGAATCGTGGTGCAAGGCTCTTGATGGCCAGAATGGCCTGTGTGAAGACCCTGGAGACTGTGGGTTGGCCCAGGCCACAAATAATGCCTGAGATAGTTTGAAAGGATCCCCTCCCCAAAATGTAAAGGGTTGCCAGCAACTTGACCATCCCTGGCACAGCATGGCTGCGGCCAGTTGTTGGCCGTAGTCTCTCCTCTATGAGTGCATACAGGTGTATAATGGCTTGTCGACTGAGCCGAAACCGGCGTCGGATATACTCATCCTGCATGGTGTCCAAGCATGTGCGCTGGGCAAAGACACGAGGCCGGCAGATGCGGACTAAAGGAGGCCCCTCTTGGGGATCGTCCTCCTGTTGTTGTTGCTGCTGCTGCTGCTCCGCTTGCTGCTGCCTCTGCTGCTGCTGCCCAATCTGCTCCTCCTCCTCCAAAAGGACAGCAAGTCCCAGCATGGTGGCTGCCAACAAACAATGTCTAAACTCTTCAGTAGGCTCCATCTTTCTTGCTCATGGAACACCATTACACTAATTACAACAACCTTCCCAGGAATTCAGGAATCAACCAAATACCACATCTAATTAATTCATCACCACAGCCCCTATAAATACAGCTACAGCTGCCACACCCAAAACAAGAATGGCTCCCAAAAGAAAGCAGCATTCTCTCCCCCCCCACACCATCACGATCACCACCACCATCATCATCAAGATCACGAGCAACACCAGCACGAGCAACACCAGCATTCTCCCCATCATCACCACCACCCCCACCAGTACTAGCACCAGCAGGGAGGCCACAGGCTGGCTCCTCCAGTCGATCAGCTGGCTCTGGGGGGCAGACCAGTATGTCATCCTCCCAGGTCCCTCCCTCTAGCCCAGGGGAGGGAACCTCGGGAGTGTCTGCCTCCCAGGGTCAGCGGTTCACACACGAGCAGAGCATGATCCTCGTAGAGAACTACATGCTTCACCATAGGCGTCTCCGCGGGGACCTGTACTTCCAGACCTCTTCTGCTGACAAGAAGAGGCTCTGGGAGGACCTAACTGCTTGTGTGAATGCAGTGTTGACCCTCCCTGTTGGAGAGACCCGCGCTCTCTCCAACAGGTTCAAGCGTGTGTCTGACATCATCCGGAATGCAAAAGAAGACCCTGGGTGAGGAGGTCGCCAGATCTGGGATGTATCGGCCACAGAATGTGGCCAGGCTCCGGGAATACCACCGGATGGTGTTGCCAATCATTACCAGAGAAACCCTTGTGGGAGTGAGGAGTGTGGATGACACCGATGATTGGCAACACGGTAAGATGCACATAATAGTGTATTTTCTCTTTTTGTATGGATAATTCTCTTTCTTTTGTCTATACACAATCATGTATCTTTCTCAATGGCTTGTTTAGACAATGTCTCGACCAGATAATTATGTGTTTGTGTAACTGTAGTGCATTTGTCCTGCGTCTGGGATGCATTTTAGGTCAATGTTTTAGTTCCTCATCCTCTTCATTACATCCATATCATTCCACCCATTCCACAGTCTTCCCATCCAAATCTCGTCATATTTGTCACAACTCATTTTGCTTCCCTCATGGCATCCCCAAATCAATTTTCATCCCCCTCACTCCCCAATTATTGGGTCTTATTTGTTCCTGTAAGTTCCATATTTAGTGCATGTTGAATTGGTCCCGTCTTTCCAGGGATGTATTTTGAAGATTATAAATCATATTCTATTAATAATTATTTGTGCGTTGCATTTGGTGTTTTTGATGAAACTTTGACCTGGAGGGGCTTTTGAGGGCGGTCTGTTGTGTTTGAGGTGCATGTACATGCATTTTGGACACTAGCAGATCTGAACACAAAGTCCATGCAGTAATGTTTCCCCACCCACCCTATCCAAAGAGACTGCACTGGTGTCAACATATCCCCAAAAATTGCAAGAAGGCACTAGGATACGGGACATTTGGCAACAGCATTACCTATAGTCTGGATCTGGACATGCTATGAATATCAGTACAGTGTCCAAATACAAAATAAGTCATAATGTCTTGCTTGGCTGAATGTTAAACATTTCCTATTTTCTCAGTCTTTGAGGTGGATGATGATGCGTCCAATGCTGGGGTATGTAAAAACACATCAATACAAACATGGGTTTTGCTCCTTCAACCCAGACATCTGTGCTGATCTGTATTTTGAATGCGGTTATTGTTTGCTTTCACAGGGACTTTCAGCCAGTCCAGGTAGTCGCCATCAAGATTCTGAGCCGGACGTGGCTCAAAGTCCTGTAAGACTGCATTTCATTATGTTTTTTTCTGCTTCATATGCCATGCTTTGATCCCATAGAATGTCATGTGTCTCAGGTTTTTTTCACCAAACTGAGTTTGCAGTGGGATTTGCTATAGGCCTGAAGCTGCTAGCCGCCTGCGGAGAGGATCGTAGCAGTGCTGAGGGCCGCACAGCTGCGATCCCTCCTGTTAGCTCTCTCACTCTCCTCCCGGCCGCTGCAGTTACAGAGTGGCCGGGAGGAGAGAGAGAGAGCAGACAGGAAGGATTGCAGCTGCGGGCACATCAGCACCAGTGGTGTAACAAACGGGGGGGCAGCAACAAGGGGGCTGGCCGGGAGGAGTACAATATTGAAATAGTGGGGACAACTCTGGGGCTTGGGCCCTGGCTGCAAGGACCCATCAAGCAGCAGCTGCAACCTCATGCTGGAGAGAGTCTCCTCGGCCGGCAAGCTGCCACTCTCCCGCACGTCGTTTGGTCTTTTTTCCTCTTGACAGAAAGGTGGACAGTTGGGGTGGTTTGTGTACAGTACTTGCTATTATAGAACATAGTTGAACTTGAAAGTTTCAAGTTCAATTATATTCTATGTCATGTTCTATAATGGCATTGTGTTATGAATACACTACAAGCAGGCAGTCCCACTAGGTTGTGTAGTTCTCTATGCTATGAGGCTGTATGAATTCCTGTCCTCCTGAAAGTACAAGTAATACAGTGTCACTCTAAAACATAGAATAGAACATAATGTAACTTGAAACTTTCAAGGTCAACTATGTTCTATTCTATGTTTTATAGTGGCACTGTATTACTTGTACTTTCAGGACGACAGGAATTCCTACAGCCTCATAGCCTATAGAACTACAAGGACCATCATGTCCTCATTGTCCCTGTACACCCCCCACATATCACCTAGGGAACTAATGTAGGACATATGGACAATGAGGGCATGCTGGGACCTGTAGTTCCCAGGGTGATATGTGGTATACAGGGATAATGAGTGCATGATTGGACTTGTAGTTGTATAGCCTCTCCATATCACCTAGGGAAGTACGAGTCCCAGCATGCCCTCATTGTCTGTGTCCCCCCCACATACACATCACACAGGGAGCTACAATCCCCAGCCTTCAGGGCCGTCACAAGGCGGTGCAGCCCGCTCCCGTGGGCCACCATTGGAGGCGGTGAGACCAAAATGACTGACAGTCATTTTGTTTTCCGTCCGTCCCCCCCCTCTAAAAAGTTGCCCACTCGGGCATGGACCAAGGGCTCGACAGTGTCAGGAGACAGTAGGGCAGCCAATGCAATACCTCATACCGCCGGGTGAACGTCCCATCCTCTTGTGGCAAACCTTGGCACTCCAGCTGTGCCAAAACTACAAATCCCAACATGCATCTGCCTCTGGGAGTTATGTCTGTGGCTGTCAGAGCCTTGCAATGCCTCATGGGACTTGTAGTTCCAAAACAGCTGGAGTGCCAAGGTTCGCCACCACTGGTCTAGGGCAACACAAAACCCCTAAAAACCTCACTTAGACAGATGACAGAATCGGCTGCAGTTGCCCATGGTAAACAATCAGTTCCACTTTGATTGCTCATCAGTTCACAATGGCGTGAACAGCTGATTGTTTCCCAAGGACCACGGCTACAGCTTAAAGGTGCCCATACACTGCACGATTCTCTTTTGAGAATCGGAGGAAATCCCGCAATTGTACGAGAATCGAGCAGTGTGAACGAAGACGTGCAACCGTTTCTAGTGTATGGTCGCACGTTTTTTTGTCTAAGGAGCACGCTAGAAAACCAGCCGAAAATCGTACGATTTTCGGCTGGTCTGAACGGTGCTCGGGAGACAAATGCCGAACGGGCCAGTGTGCGCACGCTCGAGAGATGATCGAGAGTACGATCTGCCTGTCCAAGATGGGCAGATCGTACGTTTTTTAAATTACTTTACAACCATCGCAAGACTAAGGTCTTGCGATGGTTGTAAAGTGTATGACCACCTTAAGTCTGTTCTAATTCCTCACAAGTGCCCTCATGGTCAGATCCTATCCAATGCTAGGCGATTTAGCTTGCCTAGGGCAGACAAAATTATGGAGCAGCTGTGTATGTCAACCAATCGCCTCATCTCTTACTTGACCTAATCTTAACTGCACAAACTGAAGAGAGAAGCTGATTGTTTGGCATGCTCAATTGCGGACAATTCTGTGTGCTGCATTTGTCCAAATGACACCACCATATCTAAGCATACACTACATGTATTTAGTGTGAAAATCAACATCAACTATACCCAACTCATGTGAAACACAGGAGTTCAAAAGTATGACCTGAGGAAGAAATGTCAAAGCCACAAATTGTTCAACACTCCCAAAAGTCTAGGGATATCTACAAGCACCACCCCGACCCCTGTTGCCTATGTGTCTTTGTAAACAACTAACCAATTTCTTCTCTCTCCCTTGTAGCCAGCATTGGATGCAGCTGGATCTATTCGCCCAAATGTGCGTAGCCATTTTTCCAACATGATGGAAAGGATGATTGCACACTGTGATAGAGTACTGGAGCCAAATCGAGTCCCCAATCCACCCTCGGATTGGGAACAAATGATGAGGCTCCAATGCCAAAACCATGCAGAGTTGAGGCAGGACCTTGCTACATATAACAACAGCCTAATGGCCGTCTCCGAGCGCCTAGATGCCATGTCTGCCCTCTTGATGCAACAGCACCAAGATCCCCATGCAGACATGATGCGCATGATGGCAAGGTACCAACAGCATATGGATCTGGTTAATGGGCAAATGCGCGAATCCCTCCAGAGCCAGGCAACGTTAACTGGTATTCTCCAGAACACCATGTTCTGGAGAATACCAGCGTATTCTACAGCGTTGTACAACAGAACCTTTCTTTGAGGGCTAGTCTTCAAGCCTTGGGTGTGCAGATCCCACCACCGGAAAATGCACCGGAGCATGAAGCCCAGCACGAAACACCACCAGACTCTGCACTTGTTGATTTAAGTTCCCCACAATCCATTTATTTTGATCACCCCTTCTCCTCCCAGTCCTCCACCTCCTCCCAACCTCCCGCTCACTTTTCCTTCGATTATCCCAGCTCTGGTTCCTCCTCTGCCCCTCCCGTCCAATCGCCACCTCCTCCTCCTCTGGCCGCCCCACACAATCCCCCTGTCACGCCCAATCCTCCCTTCACAATTCCCCTCTTCTGCTCGCCCCACCCAGTCCGTCCAATTCACTTCTTCCCTCCCCACCCAATCCTTCTCCTCCTGCCCCTTATCTGGCCGTCCCACACAATCCCCCTGCCACGCCCAATCCTTCTCTCTTGTCCTCCACACCCAGCCTGCACCATTATCCCCTTCAGCCCGTCCCACCACACCCAGGCCGCCCCAAACTCCCCTGATCCCACTTGACCTCCCCTATTGCCATCCCCTCTTCCCCCACTCCATGTCCTCCCTCAGTTTCACGTTTTTTGTGTGGGTTAATGTATTTGTG